CACTGTCATCAGTCCTAAATTTTTTTCTTTAATTTAAAGCAAATTTGCGATGTTCATTAAAAGTGCACAAAAAATTTGGGAGCCAAGATTCATGTTCCATGTACTGAATTGTTCAATATAGTGATGTTGTACTGTACTTAGATCCAAATTATTCATGACTTACTCTGTAAATTGAACAGACAATTGGTCAGTTTGCTTTTGAAGAAAGACTATTGTTCAAATTTAATTTATTTTCATCATAATGCATTAACTCATATTAATGCACATTTAAAAACATTCATGTTTACATTTAAAATAAACACTATTTGGATTCTAGACGCTTTGACACTACTTCTTTTGAGGACTAAAAACTTGTAACTATTGCATGCTTTTAAAAGTCGAAAGGTATTCCCATTTAGGCAGCCAAAATACCAGTACTGTTCAGTCAACCCAGTGGCTGTTCTGAACCTCACTTTTAACAAGTTTGCACCCCGAACAGAGATGTTGACAAATGAGAAGAACCGACATACTGATGAATAGCTCAGTTGATAGAGCACTGGTACGGTGTTCCAGAGGTCGCAGGTTCAAATCCCACTCCAGTCAATTTCTTTGTTCATCTTCATAAGTTTTTTCTTGTGCATTTTGTATTTTTCGAGTTGTACATCCACGTTGCCAGAGCATTAGTAAAAAGTCTGTCACTTAAAATTATCACCAAAATGCAAGTCGCAAAGTGTTGGCTCAGTGCTGAAAGGTCATTACTGCAAAAATGTAATTTTTGAAAACATTCTAGGGGTTTTACTCTGCACAAAAGAAATATTTGATTTAAACAGTTTTTTATTTTTTTTAGTTATAAAAGTAGCAGCCAAAATGTTTACATTTTAACCAATTCTGTTTCCCAAATTGTCTAAAACAATATTTTTCACTTAACACTTTTTAGTGTATTCTAAGGACCTTTTCGACATGAAAAAATGCTTTGTGTGTATGTAAAACAATCACCATTTATTGCTTTAACCAGTTAATGTCTATTTGCAAGTGAAATAAATACTCATTAATTTAAACCAGCAGAACAACTTGTTTGTACGTGTATATCTATTTGTAAAACTGTAGTACTTTGCCACTGCATCCTTCTCCTAATCTGGACCATTTTACACTGCCAGAGTTTAAGGTACATCTGTTTCCATCTTCAGATTTTATATTACAGCCTCATCCTACATGAAAGCCCTCCCAGTCTTAAACATCTTCCAAGCTCCTTATATAAAGTTCCCTCTTGGAGCCTTTTAGTCTCAATCTTATAAGGGCTACAACATACCTAATAGCAATATGGAACATTAAGAAGCTATGTCCTTCAACCTAATGGGAGCCTCAGAGCTCTAATACTGATAGTCCTAAGCCCTCAGCCATCCACTCTACCCTTCCTATCAGCTCCCAGACTTCCAGCCCCTAGGCCTTCCACCCTTGCCTATCTCCAGTACAGAGTTTGGCTGAAAAATATTCTAAGTCCAAACAATGGAAGGTTTAACATTTAGAAACGAGTACATTTCTTCAA